CACGAACGTTTTAAAAAAATATGCAAATTTTTTGGCAGGAAAGCGATCTCGGGAACCACACGAGCTAAGCGGCTGAAACTTTGTAGGGATATTCCCTGTGCATGAACCAGCTAAAGATTTCAAATTCAGCCCCCAAGTATGCGTTGTACTCATATAAGGGCTTACGAAATTTCTAGGGAGAAAATTGATAACTCGGGTACGAGGAAAGCTAGAAAGCTGAAATTTTGGAGGAATTTTCCCTATCCAAGTAGAACTCAAACATTTCAAATTCAGTCCCAACCTGTGCGTGGTGCTCATGTAAAGGCGTATGGAAGTTTTAGGAGGGAAATTGCCAACTCGGGTACCAGGAAAGCTGGAAAGCTGAAATTTTGGGAGAATGTTCCCTATCCAAGTACAACTCAAATATTTCAAATTCAGCCCTAGGCTATGCATGTTACTCACATAAGGGCATATGAAATTTTCTGCAGGAAAATTGCTGACTCGGCAACCAGAACACCTGGAATGCTGAAATTTTACGTGGATGTTCCCTGTCCATATGCAATCTAAAAATTTCAAATTCAGCTTTCCAGGCACGTGAAGTACCCAAGTAGGGGCATGTGAAGATTTTGGCGAGGAAATTGCTAACTCGGTAACCGGGAAAACTGAAGTTTTGAGGGCATGTTCTCCGTCCAAGCACAACTTAAGTTTTTCAAATTCTGCCTTGAGGTATGCGTGGTTCTTAAGGAAGGGCACTTAAAAGTTTTGAAAAGGTTTCTCATTGAACAACTAGGTTACTTTTATTGAACTACTATTAAATGAAGTTTGTACATTTACTTTGTAAATTGATGGTGATTTATACTAGTGACCCCAAAGGTAGGTGTAAAGCAACAGCCATTCATACAGTTAATGACCTGAGTAATTTAACTCCGGTGCAAAAGCGCATGATCGCGCGGGCCCGCCTGGTGCGTTCCAGCCTGGGTTTTGGGGATGGTTTAGGTCTTGTCGTTTATGCATGCAGTTCTGTTGGATTACAGTTGACTCCAGTTAACTTCCTGTTAGGAATAACTGCAGTGAGTGACTTTGTTTCTTTTCAAAAATAATCAATTTCACTAGGCTCCATGTTGTTTGAACTCGAATCTGCTTAATCTTGAGCGTAGTTGGCTTCTGCCTAAACAGTGCTGCTTTCGTTTTGGTTCTGTTTTCGTAAGCACAGATCTGAATTTGATTTTGCGGCTGTACCATCTCTGATAATTCTAATCTTTTTAATTTGTATAAGTTTGGTTCGTGTCGAAGTTGTTTCCGGTTCATTCGAAATCTTCCGAGGACCTATTTTCAATTTATTCCGAGACCCAAAGGATTAGTTCTGGTTCGATCGTTGAAATCTCAGCCGATATGGTCTGAATCCATTGGAACTTAAGGATTTGTTCCAGATCGACTACTATTACAATAAAGAGAGATTTTTTGGCGCGGGAGGAGCTTCTGCATGAAATTTGAAATCGTTGCAAGATTTGATTCCTCGTGGAAAAAAGCGTCATGTGAGCGGCATTTTTGTGTTTGCGAAAATATCGCTAATTTGTAGGGCTTAAGATGATGGAAATGGAGAATGCAGCATCGGATAATGACAACGAGCAGTACCGTGAAATCAACGGTGAACTAAAGCCTGCGGAGAGTAACGGTGATGCGAGTTACGATGGAGTGAAAAGCAGCAAGACCGATGAAAAGGATGAGGCACCGAGCCCGAAATCAGCCGATTCTACGGGAAAAGAAGCCGCAACAGGCCGAGAGTTTGTTTACCCTCACATTTTGATTAATCTTGAGATGGATTGGCTTGACGTCGCTCTGTTCGTTTCGCAGCTATGTCCGAATGACTCCGCGGGGGGTGAGGAGGGGGAGGGAGATTCACCGGTAGTCCGTGTGATTCAAGTGGTACTAAGCGCTTTATAGTTCAAGTATATTTACATAGTCCTAATCCAGTGTTCCACAGGATAGTCTGGCAGCTTTGGTGAGGTCTTCATTTCTCCATAAGTCCGAACCGATCTAAGGTGGCGGGCATTTGAAAATGAACAAGTTTTTTTGCTTTTTAATCATCTGCAGACAGATGAGCTGCACCACCAAAAGGCCTAATGGAAGCGACGTCCAAGAGGATTCAGGATAGGTAAATGTACCTTCTAACCATAGATAACCGTAGAGATTAGAGATAAAAATGATTGTTATCTATAAACGTTTGTAGAGGGATGAGGAGGAAAATGAGGCAAAGGGATGCATGATATTCGAAAATAAGAAAGTAACGACCCACACCAAGGTAGCCGATGTGAAAATGCATCTTACGCAGTTGAGTCTAGTGGACGTTTTCTGTCAAGAATTTTCAATATTTGACACTTCGATGTGTGCAGAAACAGTCTCAATATGCTGTATGGTTTCTAAGTTTCGAAATTTCTCAGTGAAAATTTCACTACTGATAAGTGAAACGAAAGTGTATGTACGGGGAACGTGCTTACGAAATTTTAACTTCCTCTTCTTCAAGCTTCCGAATTAATGACTTTCGCGCCAAAACTTTCATGTGGCTTTGCGTGAAACCTAGGCGTAAGTGGGAGGTAAATTCGAGTTTGCGAGCTCTCTGTATCAGCAAAAAACATCTTGAAATCTCGTCCTCTCAGTTCCTGGCAAGTTTTTCGAGTTAGCAAATTTTCCACCAGACTTTCGCGTTGCCACACGTGACTCATGGGCGTACGTGAACGCTAATTTTGAATTTGCGACGTCGCATGTTTGCAGTGATCATTACCGTAAAATCGCGGCTTCCTAGCTGTTGTGTTTTCCGAGAGATCAATTTTTCTCGACAAAATTTCCACGGAGCCGTGCGTGAAGCTGGGCGTTCTTGAAGGGTAAAATTGAATTTGCGGGGTCGTACGTGGGCAGGAAAATGCTTCCTGTACTTTACTGGTTCTTAAGTTGAAAGTACGAGATAAAAAGCATTCGGACATCCCCACGAATACAGATGTGACAGTATGCGTTTTGTGCAACTGTTCCAGCTTAAAATGCATAAAAATATGGGAAGCGTCGGGGGTGCAGATTTGGTCAATCTTGCGTACTTGAGTGGATTCCGGAAATTAACTTTGAATGTCACATTATCCAGTTGCTGCATTTGTGTTTCTCGCTTTGCTAGAGCCGAGTTTTGTTGCCCACTGCAGTTGTGTCGCTTTATTTTCTACAAGATTTTGCACACTTGAAAATTGTTGAGGAGGCTTGAAATGCATGCATTGGTCATTTTCAGGCTTTTCGATTTTCACCGTTTTCAGGAAAGCAGCAAAAAGAAGCCGTGCTTCGCGATCGAAGTCGCGCTCGTCATCAAAGCGGCACCGTCGCCGTCGTCGCCGCTCATCGAGTTCAAGCTCGCGCTCAGCGTCCACAAAATCACGCTCTCGAAGTGTTTCGAGATCGAGGAAGAAGTCGCGCTCGCGCTCACGCCGACGTTCCAGCACACGTTCACGTTCGCGTTCCCGATCACGTCGCAAGACGACCAAAAAGAAGGCTCGTCGCAGCTCGCGCTCCTACAGTCGTAGTCGCAGCCCGACACGTCGACGCAAGGCCTCGCGCAGTCGCAGTCCAAGACGTCGTCGGAGCTCGACTTCGTCCAGTCGGGATACGTATGGTTCATTCAAGGCGATGAGGTATTTTGCAGTCAGATGTAGTGCTTACAGCGGAACTCTGCGAGCAACTGAAATTTTTGTTCCAGCAATCTAAAAATGGAAGTTTCATTTCAGCATCTTTGGGCAAAACCGCTTTGGAGGGAAGCAAAATTGAAATTTATTTTAAAGTCAGAACAAGGCTCTGGATTCTGTTCTTTTCTCAGCGGTGGTAGTTGAGGATTTCCGAAATTGCCTCGGGGGATGATAGTACATGCTTTGGAGTGGTAGGGGTGCGCTGATGGTGGTTCCCTTTCCCTTTTGTCATTCTGAAACATGCACACTGGCTTGCTCGCGAAATTGCTCGGCTGTGCTGACTGGCGCTGGACGGACCTCTCGAGCTTGATCTGAGTGCCAGCTGCCATGCTAACGGATGGCCTGAATTCAGACAGAAGCTGCTAGCAGCCAAAGGGGGGTTTTGCGGGGAAAGGAACGACTTGGTGGTGCCGGTCTTTACAGGCCACATTTAAAAAAAGAGCATATGTGTGATTTGGATATCGTTGATTTTAAAATTTAATGCAGTGATTGTGGGTTGACGGTATGTATCTATTAGTATTATTGTCAAATTAGCCCGGCCTCAATGATCATCATCACGTCGGCCCCTTATTGTTATCATTCATCAACGGCCACGCTCGTTGTTGCTGCTATCCATCTACATCATTGACCAACATTATCATTATTGTTATTACAAATCATTATTATTATTGAAATGAAGTTGTACACGCAGGTGAAATTAACGTTGTAGAGAAACAAGAAGCAAAAATATTCGTTTTTTTTTTTTTTTTTCTCTGTATATGATTTACGATTTTCATTCAAATCCACAAAAATTTTTCTTACTTTTTGCTTTTCGTAATTTCTTGGACATTCAAAAATCCAGTGTCCCTAAAGTAATTGTACTGAAAAAAATTCTGAAGTATCTTTCAGGTCTTTAAAAAAAAATTTTTTTTTAAATCTACTTGTTGTATAGCAATTTTGAAATTCTTGCTCTTGTTTTATTTCCGCTCGGAATATTTTAGCCCTGCGCGACCAGCTTATGAGTATCCTTGTCGAAAATGCGACCGTGATTTCGAAACAATCCGTGAACTTTGTGAGCACGAAATCCGGGCGCATGGTGCCTGTTTCCCGTGTCCTCATTGCGAGAAACAGGCGTCCAGTGTCCAGAAACTTTGCGAGCACATGAAACGGCGCCATCCGGATTACCGCTTGCTCTGCGATTTCTGCAAGGATGATTTCGGTGGGAAAATTAACAGCGCAAAAGATTCAAATTGGGAAGAGTTTCGCGATCACATCTACAAGGTTTATTACTTTGACACTTAATCTGTCATCTGAAATTTTGAAGCTTTCTAGCGATATTTTGGGGAGTTTCCACGTCGCTGGCTTTCTCGGATTTATCATTCATTCTTCTCGCCTAACAGATTAATTTTTCCAAATTCTGTCTCAGTAATACCAATTTTAATAGATTTCTTTTTCTTTTACAAGCAAAATTTGCATGAATTCCTTTTGCTTTTTGTCTCCTGTTCTCCCCCAACCCCCTCCCCTCCTTCCCCGCCTCCATCCCTCTCCCCCGCCATCCACGTCCTTTCGTTAGTTTCTTTCCCTTTTTTCCCTTTCTTTAGTTCACTGGGCTACATTTGCTTATGCTGCCTCCCTACATTGGGCATATTCGGTCACTCTTTCATTTTCGTTTGATCAGCATATCTTTCAGCCTGAGCTATGGTTTACACTGTCGCTTCTCTGTCTTCCTCGGCCACCCCTTTTTTGGTACACATTGCTTAAGGTGGGCTATGCTCTTTATATTAATTTTCCGCTTTTTAGTGTTTTTGCTTTCCCCTCTCGTTATCCTTCATTTTTGGTTTTGCCTTCGCTTCCTTTTTCTTCTAGCTTGCTTCGCCATATCCATCATACCGACGAGATCCAGGAGTGTACACGACCTCGTAGGACCAAAACATTTCTGTCCAGATTTCTTATTTTGTCTCTTTAATTCTCTTCTTTTTCTTAATTTTACCACTGCGCACTTTTTCGCCAGAGGGGTTTGGAAAGCAGAAACCGCCCGTTCAAATTTTTTGGAGAAAGTGTTGAAGCTTTGTCGAAGCTGATCGATGCAGTTGCATCCGCCATTATTATTATCCCTGGGCATTTATTTTGCTGCTGGCAGCTTTCCAAGCATCCCTTGAATGCACTGGGTCTTTTTCCCATGTCTAATTTGTCATCCTTGCTTTGTGGTCAGTTTCTCTCAGTCATTTCGCTCAGATGTTTTTGCAACGTTCCTTATTTCGCAACACAGAAATCGGCCTGTAAGTTAAATTTGCAAAAATCCGATGAAAGTTGTGCTTTCTTTCTTTAAAGAACCATTAGCCAATTAAGCCCCCGTCTTTCCCGCTATCCTGTCACCAGTGCTTTTGAGAGTGCTTCATTTTGGTCTTACCAGGAAAACTTTATATCTGTACTCATCATTATCTTTCCAGGAATGTCTGAAAGAGAAAATCTACCTCGCCGATCGTCAGACCGGCCGGGCAGCTGGATACGCGCAACGTGGTCGTGGCCGTTGCCCTCATGGACCTCCAGTAAAGTGCAAGTAAGCTTTACACGAATAGCATGTGCAATAAGCTTTTCTGCTGGCATTTTTTGCAATCGTATTTTTCACATCCGTTGCATATCAGTTCAAATCCAAATGGGTTTCTTAGATCCAGACGCAGAAGTGACTTGTTGCTGTGCAAAAAATTTTGGAACAGAAAATACTTTTCACATTTCTGAAATCGATTCATTTAGGAAGTCGTGAATGCAGCACAAAAATAATTCCCCAAATTAATAGACGGACTCACAGAATTTGCATAAATATTCTTGCATTGGTGATTTAGTTGCGTACTGCTGAGCTAATGTCCATTCTTTCCGAAAATTTCAAA